CACTCTCATTTTCAGCCCAGCCCACACTTACCTGTGCACAAAACCATGAATGCATACACACCTGCCCACAGCTGCACACTCATGTATGCAATCGTGTGCATTCCCAGCCCACATATGTGCTCACAAAGTATTGCACCACTCAGTTTCACCCACACTCACACTTACACACTCACGATGTGCATGCATGCCTTTGCATTTGCACACTCACTCCCACACACACCATGTACATGTGCTAATGAATACGCACGTGATTGCACATGCAAGACATGCCAGCCCACTTATCCGTGACCATGGAGGGGCCTGTGGACTGTGTCCCACGCAGGTCAAGAGGCCTAGATACCAGGAGATGCAGGTGGGCTGGGCCATGGAGTCGCCCGAGGGTCGCAGTCTGGGCCCGCCAGGTCCTCTGTAGGCTGCCCCGATGGACAGGGACCTCCTGCCGCCTCCAGCCCCACCAGCCTCTGCGATAGGCGGGCAGGCACTCCCGGGATAATGCCTCCCTCAGGAAGCAGTAATTGAGGGGTAGGGAATTAGATAATCAGCACCACCAGGAAGTAGGGATGTGCCCGGGTTGCCTTTGTTCCTAGAATGAGCTGCTGCTGCGGAAGGGGAAGGGAGGGAAGGAACCCAGCCAAGCTTGAGGTGGCTCCCAGAGAGCGAGTGCCTGCAGACAGCGGGAGCTGGAGTAAGAGGGCACATTCATGCCGCCCACAGCCCACCAGTGAGCAGGGCCAGGGGAGACCTCAGTGCACTGGGACAACTCCACCAGCTCCTCCAGGCTTCCCCTCTCCTGTGTGCACAAGGCTGCAAAAGCCCAGAGACAAAGTGGGTCTGGGTTCAAATCCTTCCTCTTGCACATGTTATCTGTATACGCTTGGGGAGTCCCCTAAACTTCTCAAGCCTCAGCTGCCTCCCTGTGAGCCTTTGAGACTCTGGAGCCCCGCTAGCCATGCCATGCCCAGCTTGGACCCTCTGTAGTCTCATCCAGTCCCCGCAGCACCCCATGGAGCTAAGAATCTTGCCATCATTCCTCCCATTGTACAGATGAAAATGGGGTGCAAGTGGTCATCGGGATGGCTGGATCTGTGCACTAGGGGAAGGCCGGACCTGGCTTTGAACCCAGACCTCAGTGCCCTCGAGTCCCACCCCCAGCAGGCTGCTTCCCTCATCCTGGGCCTCAGAGGGGCTCACAGGGGATCTCATCACCCCAGGGCGGGGCGATGGCAGTGGTGTTCAGCGTGGCAGCTGCAGCCCCACTGAGTGTGCCCTGCACGCTCACAGCAGCCACCCACAGCCCAGTGTTCTGTGGGCTTCTTCGGGACTCTTCTCCCAGACCTTTGGGGTTGCCATCTTCTGCCATGGTGGGGAGATTCCTCCCTCCCCTCAGTGCCTGGTAAACCCATACCATGCCAGCCCCAGCCCCGCTGCACAGGTGCAGCCCTGAGGCCTTGCTCTCCCATTACATCTCCCTTACACACCCCATCCCCTCTCCCTCTCCGTGCCCCGTCTCTGTCTCTGCAGAGCCCTGAGCCAAGCTCAGAATGACCAGGAAGGTTTCACACTGGCGCCAAACCCCCCTACCCCCCGGTCTCTGCAAAGACCCGCTGGGCACTGGCCAGCTGAGGGAGGGGTTTGTTCCTTCCCCGGTGTCACTGTCCTATTCGCTGACTGATACCACATGGACAAAGCACTGAGGGTGCCCAGTCCCAGCTGCTCTGGCCGCACCACTTCCCGATGGAGAGGGCAGGGGCATGGCATGGGCACGTGGGCACGACTCCAACCCTTTCCCTTCTCGTGCCTCCGCTTCCTCCAGGGTAGGATGGATGCTTGTCGGGGACAGACCCAGGAGTGTGACCACTGCCTGAGCCTGGTCAGTGGGCAGCCCTCTTCCAGCCTGCAGGGCAGGGCCTCTTGCCATCCACCTGCTGTTCCCTGTGCCTGGCATCTTTGCCCCGGAGCTGCCTGGCCTGCTCCCCGCCCCCTGTGGGATTCACCTCTTCTCTCGAGTCCCTTCTCCCCTCAGCTTGTCTCCTCCTGGAGTAGGAGCTGCTGGCTGTCCAATGACTTAGACCTGGGCCGCTCTGGGACGAAAGCTCTGTCAGGGCAGGGATTGGCATCTACTTTCTCACTGACCCTTTTCTGCTGGTGTGGACCAGGGGCTCAGGAGACCAGCACCCACTTCACAGATGAGAAGACTGTGAGCGGCTGGGTGGGTGGCAGGACCAGAGCGCAGCCTTCCCCAGATTCCCCACGGCACCCAGTGCAGTGCCAGCCGGGGGCCTGTTTTCCTCCTGCCGCTCTGGGTGGCTGCAGGGGTGGTGGCACTCTCTGCTCACTGCTCAGGGAGCACAGGCTGGGGGCTGGGGGAGCCTGACTGCTTCTGCTTTCCCTTTCACTCCAGGTTGCTGTCCCCCAGCCGAGGTTGGAAACTGGATACCCGAGGCCCATCTGCTCCCTCGCCTCTGTGCCCTCCCCGCCCCGGGCCCCTGGAGGCCGCTGGGCCCGCGGCTGTGGAGCTGTGATTG